CCGAGCGCCCGCGGGGGGGGCCGCCCCGCTGGGGATGCGCTCCGGGCCCGGGGTCGGACCCCCACCGGGTCGGGGCCGCCTTCCCCTCGGGGTTCACCGGGCAGAGGGGGACCTCCGAGGCAGGCACTGCCTTGCCAGCTCCGGGCTTGACCTGAGAAGGGCGTTTTGGACCCGGGATGGAGGAAGAAACGCCGGACCTTGTTTCTCCTGTCCTGAGGGAGGTGGGTGCTCCCAAGTCAGGGGAACCTGCGGCCGCGGGTCTGGATTTGGGGAAGGAACGGGATCACTTCGTTATTTTAGTATTTATCTAACTCATCCAGATTAGTTTTTAATAAAAAGAAGGCAACGAGGTTAGAAAGACTGCTGGGCGGTGCAGAGAGCAAGGGGTACCGCAGACACCCGGCACAGTCCCACCGTAGGCCCCTCTCCTGAACCGGGCAGCCGAGGCTGTCTCTGCCTTCCCTGGGCACTTCAACCCTTCTCCTGCAACCGAGGGAAAATTCCATCCGAGCTTCCTCGGGAACCGGCTTCCCAGGGAAGTCCGCAGGACCCCCCCCCGCCACGAGTGAGGTGGCCGCTTGGCCACCCCCCTCCTCTCATTAAACAGCAACATTTCAGGTCTACCTCGTACACGCTAATCGCTCCAACTGTCATCGCAAGATCCGGATCTGGTTCGCGGACAAACCGCTCCCAGGACACCCTGCAGCCAGGGGCTGCGAGCGCCGGGGCTGCTGCTACAGCGTCCCGCAGAGAACGGGGCGAAAGTCACAGCATCGCCCGCAAAAGATCCCTAATTAAATTCTCCAGAAGGCAGCCCCAAGGGTGCCGAGACGCAAAACCCCGGGGGAGAGTGGGAGGGAGGACAGCAGCGGGGACGTCCAGGAAGAAGCAGCCCAGACTGCAGCCGCGGGCAGGTGCCCGCGTTTTCACCCGCCTGGGAGGTTTTCCTCCGTCTGCGGGAGAAGGAAGGATTTGGAAAACTCGCCCTGCGACCCCCCCAGCCTCCCCGGGCAGGGCCTGGCCGAGGGACTCCCCAACTCACCGCTTCCCCGCGGGGCTTCTCCGCTCGGCTCCCCGGCCCCTGCCTGATCTCCCACCGCCCTCGGCCGCGCCGGGGCTCAGCGGGGACGAGCCACCCCCGTGCCTCCCGGAGCCGGGCGGTCCGCACCGAAGAAGTCGCTAAAGCAGATTTTGGGTTTTGGGTGGCTGTTTTGTTTTTTTTTTCTCTCCTCCCCGCCCTCGAAGCCAGAAAGCGCCGTAACGCCCCTGCTCAACCTGCGACTTTGCCGCTAAAGTTTATTTTAGCGGCTCCAAGCGCGTTAAATTGATGAGCTCCCACTTCTGTCCCGTGAACCCAGGGGCCTGCGGGCCGCCGTGCGCCCGCCCGGGCTACGAGGACCCGGCCAGCACCGAGGCTCGCCCCCGGGCG